ATATGGTGTATTATCAGTTATATGATTAACATCCAATGATCTTGTGATGGTTTGTTAAGGTTCTCGATATAGGACTTGCTCTGTTTCACTACGGAGTTCCAGCAATTTCTTGATCATGCTTGTGAGATTGCTAGGTTACTCTCTTTCAAGTCTCCTTGGTGAGATTTGTTAACACAAAAACTTTTGTCTACTTTTGATCAATGTCCCAATTTAAGGAACACAACATAAACAACACAACTTTGATATAGAGTTTTATTTTATTTTTATTATTTTTATTTTGTTCTATTTGAGGAAGCTGCTAATACATGTTTCTTAGCCAACTAGGAATCAGAAACTTTTGTCTAAGAAATTCAAGGTAGTGATGGAAGTAGTTCAAATATGTAAGTGTCGATTTACTTATTTTATATCAAGAGTATTTTAGTAATTAATTAAAGGACTAAGATAGGATGAGAATCATGTAGGAATTGAATTAAATGGCCATTCTATAATGTGCTGAAAACATTAATCAATATATTATGTGGTTTGGGAAACTTTCTTATTAGTAGTAATGGTGGAGTAAGGATATATTTGTACTCGTCAATTGACAGGTCTTTCAAATTTCTTTTTTTATCGTTTAGTTTCCGGAGCCAACAATTGAGTTTCAGAAAAATATCATTGTGGAACTCATTGTTTCGAATTAGTATTTGAGAACTATTCTTTAATCCACATGCCATTGCTAGTGAGGCATGAATGATATTACTGTTTTCGGATTTTAGATTTTCTCATCTACTGAATTGTTGCAGTTGCTTGCAATGGAGTCCATTTATGGAGAAAGTGTCTTCATCTTTGACAGAGAGAAAGACCAGCGATATTTTCAGGTTATGTTATAAGCTGATAACCTATGATGTTCTTCCCTCTCATGTATATAAAGAAAATAACCTAATATGGTTTGTTATTTTGCAGATTCATATAAATGTTGAAGGTTCTAGTGAACTTGCCGTAACAGCAAACCTAAATTCTTCCACTGATCCTAGGATCAAAAAGGAGAGCTCAGATGATTTCTTGTACTCATTCAAAGTCCGATATCTTCCACCAATTGTGTTGACCTGTTTATTACCCAAGTCATACCCTAGTCACCTACCTCCTTATTTTACCATCTCTGTTCAGTGGTTGGATCCTGTTAAGATTTCCAGTCTCTGCTCCATGCTAGACTCAATATGGAATGAGCAGCCGGGGCAAGAAGTTATATATCAATGGGCAGAATGGCTACAGCATTCATCTCTTTCTTATCTTGGGTTTGATCAAGAAATTATTCTTGGTCCTTATGGCATCAAATACAATGAAGATAAGCGTGCAGTTTCAGGAAGCGTCTCTCCTGACGTTGATTTGCCTTCAATTAGGAGTTATAATGAAGAGAAATGCCATGAGAACTTCCTCAAAAGCTTGCATGAGTGCTGTATCTGTTTTAATGAATATGCAGGTATTTTAGTCTTCATAAAAATGAAGTTTCTTTGATTTGTCAGGAGCTGAAAATTATTTCTAAGCTCTTGACTTGGATAGCGAGCAAGAGATTGGGATTTAGGCTGAGACCAATCTCTAAAATATTGTTGAAACTCTTCCGTCATTTTTCTGTTTAAGAGGAAAATCTGGATGTTATTTAGTTCTTGAACTGGTTATCTTGAGGCTTATAAAGTATCATTTTGCACATAAAAAAAGAGTAGTTAATATCACATCTACTTACCATGTTATAGATTGCACTTAAGCAAAGTTTTCCATTTTTGGTACTGGTACCTAATGTTTATTTCTTGTTCTTAGAGTTGGAAGAAAAATATTCATATTTCTATTTGAAATTTGGCATATACGTTCAGAAAAAATCAATTTTGCATACATTGGTATATTGCTGCCCTGAAGTTTATGCGGTTGAAGCTGACCTTATTTCTTTGGTACTTCATTTGCATCTTCCTTGAGCAAGACTCATAAGGAGTTTGCTTTATTAGGGATGAGCTTGCAAAGACTTGAGAACTTGTGGAGTCGCTCACTAGAGAAAGCAAACTGAGGATAAAAAAGAGTTTCTTTTCTTTTGGCTTGTTATCTTTAGCCAGCAGGTAGATGTCCATGTGTCTGAAGATGGCCTCTGTTTTCGGTAATAGGGTATTTGAGAGAAAAGTTTGAAGATGTCTATATTCAAATATTTATTGAGTCTGGTTTGGAGTTCTCTTACACATTTTAATTGAAGACAAATTTTATATTGATTTGTGGCCAAATGACTCCCACATCTTTCAAATTGTCACCTCCAAGTTTTTTTTTATCTTTAAAAACAATAATTTGGGGTCTTTGAGGGCTATGATGCCTAATCTCTTCTCTCTAACTCATACATTACGCCATAAGCTAATACAGCCGCTAAATGGCTAATAATCCCCTAGAAACATAATTTTTATTCCCTAACACCATGGTTGCCCATCAAATTGTTTCCTACCTTGCATTCCTGTTCACCCTTTGTAAGTTTTACTATCAAGAGACTTCAGTTTGATCTATGGTATTTTTGGATTATTTATTTATTTTTTAAAAATCTTGAACAGGTACTGAATTCATCAAGTTACCTTGTCAGCATTTCTTCTGCTGGAAATGCATGAAAACATATTCGGATGTACATGTCTCAGAAGGGACTGTAAGCAAACTTCAATGTCTGAGTGCAAAATGTGGAGGTATGATACCACCTGGTTTGCTGAAACAGTTGTTGGGTGATGAAGAATTTGAACATTGGGAGTCATTGATGTTACAAAAGACATTAGAGTCCATGTCCGATGTTGCTTATTGCCCGAGATGTGAAATAGCCTGCATAGAGGATGATGAGCAACATGCCCAATGCTCCAAGTGCTTCTTTAGTTTCTGTACTCTTTGCAGGGAACGGCGTCATTTAGGAATAGCTTGTATGACTCCTGAAATGAAGCTTATTATCTTGCAGGTAATTTTATAGACAAATTATGTATTAGTTTTACATGAAGTAATAAATTTTTACATAAAAGTTCCAGTGAACCCATTGTTATCCGAAGATTCATGAAATTTTATCTTTTTAATTGTGATTGAAATTCTAATCCTTTTTGTTCATTCATCAATGTCTTTGTTTGATAGTTAGTGGAATTGATTTGGTTAGGAATGTAGTATAGCTAAATAAACAACTGAACTTGATTGTATTTTCTATTTAGAGCCTGTGCTAGTTTTTTGGTTGTATTCTCAATTTGCATCACCAGGTAACTAAGATACCTTATTTAGATGAGGAAAAGAAAAGTGCCTCGTAAAGATACAATCCGAGTTGTTTTTATAGACTAGTAAAGATGTGAGATGATTGGTCCACATTATAAGTCCGTAGCTCCTCAGAGTGAAAAAGGAATATTATATATATTAATTAATGCAAAAAAATAAGATATTAAATGGAAGATTTATAGCATTAAGAACACTTATCAGAATAAGTACGTAATTTTGGTGTTCTATGTATGATTAGGAATCTTTAGGTTATGTAGAAAATATTTTGCAATTTAAGAGGTTAAGCATTATGAAATTAGTATAAATTTGTTATAGCTCAGCAGTTCCCATTCCAGCCTAGTTTCTAATAATAAAAATCTTTTTGTTCGGCATTTTATTTCTTATTATGGTTGTATGCTTGATATCTATTAAGGGGTACCTCTAGCATAATATATATATTCACGCATCCTTTTCCCATAAAATTGAGAATTTTGGTTAATTAGTCAAGATATGAGATCTCTGATCTTTTTGGGGGAGGTTCTTTAATTTTTCCTTGTGTTACATTAGGATTTTTTTATGATACTAGAGTTCATAGTCTCTTATTCATTTTGTTATGCCTATTTCTGTTGAGTTGTACACAATTTTTGAGCTTAGGGTGTTTTCTTTATTGGGATTTATTTTCTCGTAAATTTGGATCTCGTTCTATATAACGAGAAACCCTACTTATAAGATAGAGTTCTTCAATAATGAAAACTTTTTGTAAGTGACTGTGGCATAGTGGCGGTTTTGTCAAACAATGTTTAAGAAACAACCATGTTCTTTCCCTCTTTTACTTCTACTTTAATCTGTATGTGCTGTGTGTATATTTTCATCATAACTTGTTTTCATGCTTTTTTGGAATCCGCATGTTTGGTTTTATTTCTTTCCTTGAGAAGATCAAGTTTCAAGTTTCAATGTGAACCACGTCTCACAGTTCAATTTCTTATGCTTCATTATTTTAAACTCAGTCCAGTTTTCACCAAGTTGGGGAGATA